TGACACACTGGTCCCCTCCTTCCATTACATGCACCAAATGATTGTCATCGAATGATAAGCGCACAGGTGCTTTGTTACTCCAGTGCAGGTGCTTCTTCTTGTGTGTTTGCAACAAGAGTAATGATCGGCTGGGACTGGGCAATAATTGCACACAACACGGCATGGCTCCGCATATACATGAAACGCATTATCTTATAACAAAGCTTTCTGATAACGTCCACATGTCTTCTATCCACCCCTTCGTGACCTCACAAAAACTCCAAACGCTTTTGATTCATTATTTGTCTCTCCTCCTCGCAGATTAGCTGTCTGAAAACAGACACACATTGCGCGCTCTTGTGTATCCCGGCACATCTGCTTTGAATAAAGACTTCTCCTGTGGTCTCGCCCTTACTTAGCAAGACTCCCTGGTTGAATCCAAGTCTAATTTTCAGTATGACACCCTGAGGTATCGCTTACCGGGCTTTAGTGGTGGAGCGGCGGCTCTTTGTGGCCAGCAGGTCGATATATGAGAGTGTTCCTGCTGGAGCTGGGCACAGGTGAAAGCAGTAGATTAAGATAATGAGAAGAGTGAGGCTGGTCTTTGTGTCCCATGAACACATTCAGCATGTGACGAGGTGGGATGTGTACTTTAGCTGTTCTGCTGGCGAAGATGTACCATGCGAAGAAGGAACCATTGTGTGTGTACATTCGGAGATAAAAAGACAGGAGACATTTATTGTAAAAGGAAAGTGTGTGTTGTGTTGGCAAAGGTAAAAGTTCAAGAAGCTGTCGTAGCTTCTTGCATAGCTTCTCATAGCTGACTCATGCTTATAGCACATTGAAACATTGTTTTATTGCATACAAAAGAAACCAGTTTTATATAGATTATAACATTTTATTTCAACTCTTCCTAGACTATAAAAAAGTACATTCTAGACTTATATGAAGTATAATATAGATTATTAATCAATTAAAAAATATATTTTCCTTAAAAAAAATGTATTCTGTCGTTGCTTATTGCACACCTGTAGGACTTAATCAAAATATATTTTAAAGGATATATAATGAACCTTAAATATATATTTCATCAAAAAGTAACAATTCAGCCATCATTTATTGACTCTTGTGTCATTCCAAACCTGTTTGTCTTTCTCCTGTGGTATACAAAATATAGATATTTTAGATTATAGATAAAATAAAGATATTTTCAAAAATATTGTAAATCAAGTTTGTTTACTACTCGCCACTCTTTATAATAAGAAAAACAAAAATTCGCCAAAACATCCAGGCCCGATGATATTAGTTTAGATGTAAAAACCTCTAAATGCCATCCAAAGTTTTACTCTAAAATGAGTACTTTTATCAAGTTTCTGTGTGTATGTTCTGTAATATCATTTTTGTAGCAAAGAGTAAGTTCTTTTCCTGGTCTTTAAACAAAGGAGCTGAGGAAAATGTTAATTTTTCATAGAATGTTCAAACGGCACTTCAAACTCTTCATATATTAATTGGAATATTATAGCATTGTTCATGACAAAGAAACTAGTAGTTTAGAGCAGATCATTGTATTATTGACACAATTAATAATTATTGTAGACTAATTGATTTTGGGCTGAATGGCAATAAAAATGGCGATTTGCTAAACTGAGTTGTTGCTGTTAAAATTGACTAATAATGAATCTTAAAGGAGTAATTCATGCAAAATGGAAAACTTATCATTTATCCACTCTCATATCACTACAAACATTTATGACATTCCTCTGAATACAAAAGAAGATATTTTAAAGAATATTAAACATGCAATTGTGGATACCGTACCTTCCATTTCGATTGTATGGAGGAAAATACACAAATATCTCAAAATGTCTTAATATTGTCCAGACCCAAGGATGTAGCCAAATGCAAGTTCCTATCTCATATTGATCAACCACAAATTGTTTATGGTCCTGTGAGTGAATGAATGATTTAATTTATTAAATGATTTAAAGACCTTTAGCTTTTATAATCATAAAAATACATCTCGTAAATACCCAACCAAATGCATTTTATTTCAAAATATATGTTTTTATTTTATTAATCAAATAAAACCCAAACCAAAACCCCCTCTGCCAGCAGCAGCAGCAGCAGCGGCCAATGATGTTATGAATATTTTATGCAGATCAACATATAAAGAGTTTAGATGCAAAAATACTCAATGCAGTCTGAAATTTTGCTCTAAAATTTGTATTTTTATCAAGCTCCTGTGTTTATGTTCAGTAATAATACTTTTGTGGCAAAGAATAAGTTCTTTTCCTGGTCTTTAAAGTAAAATAATTTAACATAAACAAAGGAGGCTGAGAAAAATTTTCTTTTTTGATAAAAATTCCCCATGGTCCATAGAAGTTTTTGAATCTGAACTCCTTATATTATTAAGAATATTATAGCTTTGTTTATGGCAAGGAAATGAGTAGTTTAGAACAAATCATTGTATTATTGATACAATTAACTACTATTGTAGACTAATTGATTTTGGGCTGAATAAATATGGGATGTGCTAAACTGAGTTCTTAGTTTATTATATATATAATGTAATGTGTTATTGGACGAATTCCATTTGAAAATGAGCCTCACTATTCCACTCCTACAAAAGGGCACAGTGCACTCTTATGTTATCAAAAATCTTTATGACATTCCTCTGAATACAAAAGATATTTTGAAGATTTTTAAACATGCAATTTTGGATAACTTCCATTTTGATTGACACAAATATCTCTAAATGTGTATTTTAATAGTGTCCAGACACAAGGATGTAACCAAATATTCCTATCTCCTATTGATCAACCACAAATTGTTTATGGTCCTGCGAAGAAAGAATTGATTTTATTACAGGAATTAAAGATATTTAACTTTTATAATCATTAAAGCACATATAAAATACCCAATAAATGCATTTAATTTAAAAATATATGTTTTTATTTTAATAATCAACTTAAACCCAAACCAAATCCCCCTCCGCCAGCAGCAGCGGCCAATGCGGCAGCCAGGTTCGACTGTTGTCAGTGTACGTCTCGCCAACTGAAATAGCAGTGGTGTAAGACTATTTCTATTTCAGCCGAGCACGACAAACTCCAGTTCAGTGGAGAGCAGCTCTCCCTCGTTTTCCGTGAGTCGACAATCACTGGAAGCGCGCACAACTTCGTAAGTGAGGGGCTGCCAGCTGCCACGACGGGTAAGAGCAGGTTGCCATGGCAGCCGCGTTCGGAGGAGAGCTGCAGATTGGCAGGAAAAAGCGTGTCAACAATTGCCCTGTTGCAGCGCTAGAGAGGAGCCGCTTCGTGGCCCTGCACTCCTGACGGCCCCGTGCCTCGCGCCTCAGCCACCCCATGCTGTTTAATAATATCCATTCGCAGAAAGTGATTGATCTTGGACTGTGTGGTAAAGATCAGCAGTCAGAGACTTTCCATTTTCTTTCCTCAAAACTCTCCAAACAAACATAACTGCCGCAATTAGTAAACAAAGGTCTGTCTCTGCACTAGGGACGCTTAAACGCGCCGGCAATTATAACAGATCTTTTAAACCGTGTGTGTCTTCACCACGTACAGTGACAAACTGAAAACTGCGCGAACAAAACACTGCTGTGTTTGGCATATTAGGGGTAACAAAAACGGTTTATTTTGCCCACTTCTGATCGAAATTATCAAGCCATTGTCAATTTAAAATAGTCGAGTCTGCATGGGCCTACATTCTCTAACCACTAATTCACGAGGTCGTGCAGTGTGCTCTACTACCTATAGCTACACCCGTGAAGTGAGATCAAATTCGTTTTGATTGCTCTACGTCATCGATCAATTGATTAATAGATATTATTTACCTCACCCAAACTAGTATATAATACAGGTTATAATGGATTTATTTATACTTTTTATGATGCATTCTGTGAACTGCTAGCTAAATTCGTTATTGTTTAAATTTGAATTGCTCGAAGATTCGAACGTTCATTCTAAAAGAACGTCCCTGGAATTCCTTAAGTAAGGGCCTTCCACAAATTCTTGGTATTGTGCATTTCACGTTCACTTCAATGTAGTTATCTTTCCGTTTGTGATTACTGGATCCCAGGTAACAAGTCTTTTCAATTATTTTTTTGAATTCTGGGGTAAATTCAGTGAGATGTTAAATGATTTCAACCCAATATGAAATATTTCATAAACACATTCAAGCGTTAATGTCAGAGGTCTGCTTAAAATATATGTACTATCCATACGTCTTTTAAAGTTTTAAACTTGAGTTAACTGTTATGCTATAAAGGTAATATTGTTAATAAATCAATCATTTATACAAATCATATGAATTACAAACTTGACTTTTGTGTTCAGAGAGTAAATGCACTGTGCCCTTTTGTGTTAGTAGGAATAGTGAGGCTCATTTTCAAATGGAGTTTGCCCAATAACACATTACAATATATATAGTGCACAGAATCTACACCAAAGGTCAGATCGGGTTGTAAAAATGCCAGTCCACTTTGGAGGGCACTGTGAGCGATTGAAAAGTTTCGACGGTTGTAATTTCACAAATAGTTTGAGTTTATTGTCCTAGAGCTTTATGCTGTTCTGTTTTGCTATAATGTTTAACACCAGTCTTCTTTCTTTTCTCATATCAGTCTTTATTTTCCGTATTTGTTCTCAGATGGGTCGATAAAACCAAACCTGTCGGCTAACGTTGGCATATTCAGCGACTCTTTATAGGCTACACAATTGTTTTGAAAATTGTCACAAATATTTTTCCATAAAACTGACGACAAAACAGTCCGAATGTCCTCGGTACCCTGCAATCATTGCGGATTTTTACACCTTATAAACAAAGACGGGGGGGATTTTTCCTTTGTGTGCAGACAAGTGCGACTTATTTGCCATACACCTCGTCTCTTCCTGAACACTCTCGGCTGAAACTGTGAATTTGCTGTCATCGGTCTAATCACCGAGGCATTGATTTTTTTGGGACTCTGGAGCCATATCTGCCCTAATAGCCGCACAAGTGCAATTGACTGGTCTGAATGACAGTCTTGTTTATTTAAAAAGCAAGTCAAAAGAATATGAATCATAAATGTTATAATCAACTGCAGCATGACCACGGATCAGCACGCAGAACAGTTCGGGTGAATAATTAAGGCTAATAAGACACATGGCATAGATGTAACACAAGAAAAAGGACACCTGTTTTAAGACAGAAAAATAATCGATACATATAGGTGATGAGAGCGTAGGCATGGTGATCATCGATGGCGCTTTGTGATGCAGAATTGATCTGGGCCGCAGCCTGAGAGGGGCGCAGCGGGGCTGCCGTTTGTTTAGTAAACTCCCATGAATCCAAGTAGATAATTGCTCTGTGAAATTGGTGGCAAGGGCAGCTTGGGTTCCGTGTTCCGCCCACCTAGAGGGCCGAATGAACGTCTGCATCTCTTTATTTTCTCAAATGATCAGAAACCATCGCAGCGTGAGCAGTACACGAGGAGAGAGGTATTTTTATTTGGTGCACGTTGTGGAAAGAGGATTGCGTGCAGGCCGCTGAGTTGAAACTGGGGCTCGAGCTCTGATCCTCCGAGTTGAGTCTTTGAGATGATACTGCTGGTGATGATGATGACTGCGACTGTTTATTGACTGCAAAAACAACACATACGGCATAGCTGCTCTCTTCCGATACTCATTCAGAAAATCATCCTCTGTGCTGATTTCAATTTTTGTAAGTGAGGGACCTTTACAAATTATTTAAAATAACTTTTCTAACTTTAATCTCTCTCGTTTTTGCACCTGGCCTTTTTGTTTGCGAGATAGATTTTAAGTCAAGAAATAAAAGGTTAGAACGGTATTTTATTGTTATTATCCCGTTGTTCAGGAACTGCGGTAATAAAACCAAATTTTGTTTTAATCAAAGTTCAATTGAAAACGAAATATATAACATTGTAAATATATAAACGTAAAATTGAATTTAAATTTAGAATAAAATGTACACACATTCAAAATACACACAAAAATGAACCTTGCTATTAATATAATACAATCATAAAACAGATCGACATTTTACATCAAGTTTCATATCATAACATTTTGATTAAATGCACTTATTCGTTCACATACATATTAAATATACGAATGCAATTACATTTGTAATTAATTTCTGTGGTTACATCTGTAATTGTTGTTGGCCACTCATCTCATTATACTCAAACCCAGCCATATTATACCTATCGCTGATATTAACTGTATCCAATTACATCAAATGTGTTTTACAACTCAACACAAACACAGCAAGTGCGTTTTACCTTTAACTTTTTTTACATATGTATTTCATAGACACCTAATATAAAATTGGCCATATATATGTTTACCATATATATTTACATTTTGCAGCAGGATTGTTTTTTCACACTATTCCATTATGATGTTTTCTCACCTACTGTAAGAAAGCAACGAAAGGCCCTCATTATCTCCTGCATGATGTATTAGTTGTCTTTGAATGAGACATGTGTTGTTTACTTTCAAAACTGTAGACAATAAAAGATGATATCTCTGGAGACCTGTAATGTCTGCAGTGAGTGAAGCCTCTGGGTGTTGAAAGTGTGCAAGCTTAAACCTCTCACATCACTTGAGGGAAATGTGCCATGATACACATTTACTTTTTTTTTTTTTTTTTTTTTTTAGAATAAATGCATGAGATCTCTCATTAAAATAGCTGCTTTGACACTGATCCATTGCGTATGTGTGTGTGACTAAGGAGACCTTTGTTTAAGGTTTACAAGCTGCCATACACAAACACGCATAAATCTGATATTATTTAGGCATCAGTCTCATTTCTGTCAGCAAACTGGCCAAATGTTGGGAAACATTTCAGAAAATGCAGCAATCTAGAAGCTTCAGTGGTCTTGCAAAAGCTTCTCTGTCTCCCCAAAGGAATTAACGACAACAGATATGTTTTTTATCTCCCAAAGTAACAATTTACTGGGTCACAGTAGATCAGCATGTTTTCTTCTTTACAGCAAAAACATTAGCAACAGGGGAATACTGTCTTGACAACAAACAAAATGTCACAAAACATTGCTTGTAAAATATACAGTTCTTCATTTGTTGCACAATGCCAAGGTTTTCATTTCTAATTAATTTAAATTATAAGATAAGTCTAGAGGAAGAAGAAGAAAAAATTAAACTCCAACAAAGGGATGCAAAATAACAGTCTTGGGTTTGTACAATGCTTCTGTTTTCTCTTTCTTTCTTTTTTGTACTGACAGCAATTTAATCAAACTGTGACTTCATGCCCTACTATTTGCAAATTGTATAGCACCTCTAAAACATAAAGGCAAAACATTTCACAAACAAGTTACATGGACCTTGATTACAACTGTAAACATTCTCAGCATGGGTGAGTAACGCATCACAGGGTGGATTCAGGCTACTGCAGCACACACTGCCAGACATCTAGGAGGAAGACAATGACAAATTTAAGACTGTTATTTCTCTTTTCAGTTTATGCACATCCCTCTATCCCCCTCCCCCCTCCTGCCTCTTTGGCACTAAGAGAAATGGTGACACAGTAACACTAACAGATGCCAGATCATTTTATCATAAGGCAAGATAACTGTAATATAGCTAATTTTACCTTGTATTAAAAACAGAAAAGAAAACATATGCTGCTGAAATGATAGTGGCAATAACAGTAGCAGATATAGAAACAGGGTGAGCACAGAAAAACATCTTTAACATCTGTAATTGTGAAATAGAAATCTTACAATTTATTCAAAATCACAAAATATTTTGCATCAGAAATGAATGAGGCATTTTAAAAGACATCCAAGTTATGCTCTTAATATTTTAGTGTACTTAATGGAAAATGTTTTTGTTGATGTAGAAAAAAAAAGAAATATTAAAAAACATAAACAATTTGTTCATTGATCGAAGAATCAAAAAATTTACAGTGCTCAGCATATATAAGTGCACCCCTCACAAATCTATATTTTAAATTAATATTTTAGTAGGACGCTATACAATATTATATTTGTGCATATACATTAGATTAGTCAGTGCTGAAGCCAAATCTGGAGCTTATCTAACAAAAAAACTTACAATAACGGTCAAAAGTACACTCAAATGTATATGTTAAAGAAAAATATTAAATAGAAATTTAAAAAAGAGGAAAATCAAGAAAAGCAAAAACTTAAAAAATGTAGTTAAATTTTGTAGGAGGCATTTGTTTGCAATATTTTACTTGAATTTAATTGCATTATCTTTTAATTTCTAAATGTTTGGTGACTAAAATAACATTTTAATAAATACAGTTGAAATCAGAATTATTAAACCCCTTTGATTTTTTTTTCTTTTTAAAATTTTTCCCAAATGATGCTTAACAGAGCAAGGAAATTTTATCAGTATGTCTGATATCATTTTTTATATTTTCTTTTTATATCTTATTTGTTTTATTTCAGCTACAATAAAAGCATTTTTTTAATTTTTAAAAAAAAAATTTAAGGTCAAAATTATTAGCGCCTTTAAGCTATATTTTTTCGATAGTCTACAGAACAAACCATCTTTATACAATAACTTGCCTAATTACTCTATCCTGCCTAGTTAACCTAATTAACCTAGTTAAGCCTTTAAATGTCACTGAGCTGTATAGAAGTGTCTTGAAAAATATCTAGTTAAGTATTATTCACTGTCATCATGGCAAAGATAAAATAAATCAGTTATTAGAAATGAGTTATTAAAAGATTTATGTTAAGAAATGTCTTGAAAAAATGTTCTCTCCATTGAACTGACATTGGGGAAAAATAATCAGGGGTTTATAATAATCAGGCTAATAATTCAGCATGTTTAATAATTCTGACTGCAACTGTATATCTGTTTAATAAATCTGTTTTATTTAAATGCACCAAAATACATTGCCTATATTCACTGGGAAATGGAGAAAAATATTCATTTTCAAAATGGGGTGTACTCAGTTATGCTATATTTTTAAAAAAGCGATATAGCTTTTATTATTTTTCTTGATTAAATATAATAAATAAACAATAAAATCTAATTATCTCTTTCTGTTTTATTATTTTTATTGAAAATTTTGTTTTTTTGTCAGAAAGTAAACCAATAAAATCTGCGATGGACACCTCAACCTAATATATTTTTAGTGAATAATAAGCTAGTCCAACTATTACTGACAAATCAAGCATTGCTGAATTGTTATCACATAATGGCTATAAGGATAGCAACATTTTATTGTGATTGTAGTACAGTTATGTACAGTTGTATTATGCTTTTGCAATTTCCCCAGTTTATTTCAGTCAGTGGTTAGTTACACTAAAATGTCAGTCAACACTGCGATTTTCTTGTTAATATTGAATTTCACATTTGCATCCAGTCTTGATAACCATATGACACGTCCAAATAATATGTGTGACTTAATCTCTTTTCCTTCTTTTTGTCTGTCTCCCTCCCTTTCTCTGTTCCTCCTTGAAGTGCAGTCACTCTGACGAGGATGAATAGTGAAAACTATTCACTGTGTCACGGGTTTGTGCACAGAGCATCAGAGGGACAGAGCTGAGGTCAATAGGAGGCACCTTAAACACCCTTATTTCCTCCCAGCCTCAAAATCGCAATTTCACGGCACTCTCATTTTGGACAACTTAATTTCGATAAAAGTTTCAGTGTTGCTGTGCGCTTTTACTTGTTTGAGTTTCGTATTTGCCTACAAATAGTTTAAAAAGTGCTCAAAGTCACGCCACTCAATACTGGCATTATTGTTTCTTCAAAAGAATATCTCTTGCACCTCAAAGCAAACAGCTAGATTTTCTCACAATATCAATACTCTCATTTCCCCCTTATACCTTTATTTAACCTGGGAAAACTCTTAGAGAACAGTTTCTCTTTTGCAGCAGTGCCCTGGATGGAGGAGGGGTTAAGGGGACCAGAGTAACATGATGCAGCACTCAACTTGGGGTTAAGTGCTTTGCTCAGGTGCACAACGGCAGTACTATACACTAGGACCCTTCTGTTACCCATTCATTCTCTTAGGTGCCCCACTGGGGAATCAAGCCCACAGACCCCCAGTTTGTAGTTGGTAGCCCTGCGCGCTTAGCTAGCTACCCTATATAGGCACGCATGCTCCCTCAGATCTCTGCATCTTTCCTCCTAGTCGGTCCTGTGGAATTCCCCCTTGATCTTAGCCAACAATGCCTCACAAATTAGAGCTCCATTGGTTTGCAATCTCATCTCAAGTCCTTGTGCCCAAATCCTCTGGGCCTGTCTCTGTAACATCCTCAAACAATCGGACATCTTAACACATCTTCCTGTGTACAATCTCCAGCAGGCTGGTGATAGAGAAGTTTGCCTTGTTTGTTGGGCAGCCAAAGTCTGGCTGTAAAGCTCCTTTTTTATCAGTATAAAAAGAGTCCCCTCCTCAGAAAGTGAGGTGCTGATGAAATACTCCATGGGCACGGATGACCCACATCTATCTGCTATCTTTGGAACTATGCCAAAGCCACCATTTAGAGTATTGTCCATTCATAGTATTTCACAGGTGTAAGGATGATCATCAAGAGCCCTTTTACAGGTGCCACGTTTTGCATAGCATTCGGTCGGGGTGATAAACGGTGTAGTTTACTTAAGATAATTGACTAAAAACCGAGGCTAGTTTGCTAGCATGTTTGAAGGTTAGATGTAATGTTTCTGGAATCAAATCAATTCGAAATAATCAGTAAAGAAAGCGTTTGTTTTATGCGATGATCGTCTGTTTTTCTATACGCGTTGCATTAATAATTTCGCTAATTGGTTTTAAAGTCTTGACATTACCAATTCAACATTAAACCTAACCAGACAAAGCAAAACGTATATAATTGAATATATTCACTCTATAGCCTAATATTAATATTTGTTTACAATCAGGGAAGATGTCAACGCATGCGTCGCGTGCCACGGGGGTTTGGCACCTGTTTGTTTCGTAGGCTATATGTGTTTAAATGAAAGCTGAGGAAAAATTCTCGCTTGCGCAAATGTTGTAAAATATTATGGCTCTAACAAATCCGCATGCATTTGCATTCGAAATTAACAAAGGAATTAAATTAGGCGAGGCAACGTTTTCCTCTCTGGTTAAGTTGGCTGTCTGTCAGCAGCACCGTGTTCAAGGCATACTGATAAAAGAGGTGGGCGCGGGGCTGTATGAATGAATCTGTGCGACACTATTGCAGACGAATAGTTGTGCAAGATCAGAAAGTAATCTTGATATGTTTAACAAGCAGCCCAAAGCGAAGCCTGATAAATAATAAAGGAGCTTTTAGTGGATCCAATTTATGAAACATTAACTCTGGGGGCATAATGGAGTAATTAGTTTTATCTCACGTTGGATGTTATTGGACACTGTGCCGCTGAATGAAAACTTTTATTTTCTTGGCCTGACTGTAAAAGACAACGGGGAGTAATTTTCTGCACCGGGAGAGAAGGGTGGTCTCTAAATGCTGCTGGTGAGATCTGGATGTTCAGGTACAACACAGTGTTTATGTAGTACTCCCAAAAGTGTATCAAAGTTCGGATCCATGGAAATAAAAGAAATGTCAAACAAAACAAGCATTAGACTGCATAAAATAAAGTATGGACAAGGGAAACAGGTGAGGCTTTGTTTAGGTGGCTGAGGTAGATCAATATCTCGGCTTGCAGGCCAGGAATCTTGCCCGTTTTCCTCTAGCACTCTGCAGATCAGCTTACGGCTTGTAGACAGACTGTCGCCTATACCTCACTGACAGACAACCTGCCTCACCCCAAATACTACACAAAATATCTTCATTCTCTTCTCGAGCGACCGCTCGAATTAGTAAGTCGAAATCATTTCAAAAATATGTATAGGAGGAGATCGAGGGAAATAATCAACGTTATTCGTAAACAGTGAGGCACGACATGGCGTTGTGGCTTTATCAGCCTACGCGTGTTTATGATGGGACCGTCTTTAAGGCCAGGCCCATCCTACTATGGTCCTCCTCCGCCCAAAAGTCTAACCACATATAGACAGTGTTTGTCCAAAACCTTAAAATGTCGTTTAAACTTTAAAATTTGTTTAAAATACGAATAAACATATTGTTTATTCGAATTGTTATAGATTTATCGCTCAGATTTAGCCAGACAGCATGACGTGTTGTCCACCAGGCCGAGCGGAAGTCGAAAGAATCGATAGGTGCATTTGTGCTCGATTGGCCAAACTGACAGCAAGCGGGTTTTCATGTTTTTTCTTTGCTTCTTGTTTATTTTTATTTATTATTATAATTTTGTTATTCAATAACATGGGCTTGCGTTTTACATTTGCCAAGCCTGAATGTAGTTCATTTTGAAGATGGAATTATTTATTTAAAGATTTGGAAATGCCAGCCATTGCAACTTTCCTTCAGTCGTTCGTCCATTTTTTGTTAGTTTTTTGTTTTTGTTTTTACAATATATTTGTTTCT